ATGAATCATTTTCTTTTGGTGATATATTTTTTTACAGTTCATTTTTTATTCAGCTGTTTAGGTAGGTAGCAGGCAATGTAGACCGACGATTTATAAGCAGAGCGTACATTTGTGATGCCGTAATCAGCCCAGAAAATATAAGAGCTCTGAAAGTCGGGAACATTAAGACGCCTTAGAGGATACCAGGGAAAAGGGCTACTATGTCTCTGGCGGCAAGTCATGGACGTGGTTGGCATGTCAGTTGCAATCAGCTTACAGCAATATCTTGGGCGGTGGGTGCCGCAAGTGAAACTTTCACTCGTACATACTAGATCAGTAGTGTCTGTCTTGAAAGTAATTAGCTCAGCGGAGGTAATCAGCTAATTCTGTGCGGTAACAAGAACCTAATATCGAGACAAATTTAATAAAAAAATATAAATCCGTCTCAATGTTAAGTGAAAATAAAACGATAATATCATGGGTTAAATTTCAAAATCTATCGCAACCCCTTTTCAATAATATAGCGATTTATAGTATTAACTAAAGTTTAAAGAGTTGGGTCGAATTATAATTCGAATTATCAAGAAACACATTTAAAAAAAAAGTACTTAAATTTAAAGTAACATTTGCCTTACAATTTGACAATTCCAATTAACGACTAGTTATATAATAGGCTAGTTGACAACTTTTTTTATATTATAAATAAATATTGCATTAATATCTGAGAAATAATGTAGAAGTAATTGCTTGTCCGGGATTAATAGTTTCTGAGATATTGTGCTGTGTTTGTGGAACTGCTGCTAGTCGGCCGAAGACGCTCCGTACAAATTCAATTCACTAAGTGACGTCACACGGTGCTATGGCGGCGAGAAATGTATGGGCGTCTGAGCAATCTTTGTAATATCTTTGTTATTTGTTTTTAGCTGTTATAATGAAAGTTGTAACGTTTTAAGTAACTAATATTATGCCATATGTACCTATTGTAAAAAATTTATGAAGTATATTTTCCCTACTATTTTCAAGTTTTCAAACCGCAATATTTTTCCAAATTAATGACATAAATTTTATTTTGTTAAATATTTATAAATTGAAATGGTTCATATTTTCCGAATATATAACAAAAACCCGTATTTTCATTTGTATAAGCGTCGTAATGCTATATGATTTAGGGAAAAAAATATCACCAAATAGAAATTTACGAGACCGTTTCTTTGGCGCGTGATATTATGCAACCACTTAAGTGGCTGTCTCGTTTCATCCGTAATATTACGCGCACGCGAACGCATATGTTAAGATTACTGAATTAATTTACACTGTGGCAGAGACTGAAGTCACAATTCGGATGGATATGATTTTTCATTGTCACTCCTGTGCCTTCGGCGGTATCTTAAATAATGCATGTACAAAATGTTGATTTTTATTTCTGTTATAAATATAACAATGACTTTAACAATGTTAATTTTACAGTGACTTTTTGAGAGAAGTCGTGTAGCGTAATTTGTTTATTGACTCCTAAAGTCGTGATAATTTTCCAGTTTCTTACTACATGTTATAACAAAGTTGTACCTTATAATTGTAATGGCAACATAATGCCTGCGCATGGGAAACGAATTTATTATGCATTTACAAATATTATACTATAAATATATAAATTAGACATCGCAAGTTTATTTAGATTCGACAATATAAGACACACGCACGCAGGTAACGCAACATCTTCCGTCTCTATTCGCCTCTTTATTTGATTTCGTTCATTCTTTACCTTATAGTATCGTGCTTCATTTCTTTTTTTAGAATCGGTCCTCAGCGACGTATTCGAAATTTGAACAAACCGTTTATTAAATGAACCAACTTCAAGATCTATAAGGAGCAGGTTCTGATATGTTCAACGGCGGTTTTCTTTTTTTTATTGATGTTCACCGATATTATGGTCAATTGTTGATCGACTTTCAAAATTCTTTTTTTATTCGCTAGATGGATCGAAGTAGACCCGTTTAAATTTTATCGAAATCGAATGAGTAGTTTTCCTTTTATAGCAAAATAAAATAAAATCTCCAACAGATATCACTAGATGATATGTTATGTTATGGCATGGCTGCTAAAAAACAAAAGATTGCGTATTTAGAATTCATTCCAAATCTTAAACGAATATGTTCTATGCTCTACGAGTATGTATACTTTACTCTTTGACGTATATTTTTTATGGCAGGTTGGTCGATTTCTTCTTGAATTTTGAACCAATTTCTATCAAACTAGCCGTCCAAAATATTCACCGCGTATTACGTAGCTTCCTGTAGGTTAAGCCGCTTTTGAGATAAGTATTATTTAACACTTTTTGAAAGTTTGAAGTCGTTTCTACTTTTTATAAAAATCATTTTTTGTAATGCACCCTCGGCCATATATATATATATTTTTTTAATGAAAAATATATTCCATTATTCTACTTTAAATAAGTACAACTATTTGCCCGCCAGCGGCTTCGCCCGCGCGTTCTGAGTTTAACCTTCCTTTTGTATCACTCTGTATATTGATGAGTTTTAAAGATCTCAGTGTACAGACAGCGGGTAGCAACTTTCTTCTATGCTATGCATATAGAAGCAGTGTATGTTGGTTGTTCCTAACAGTAACATGTTCAGTGATAACATTTAACAGTGGAAAAATGGTCACTTTATTTGGATAGTCACACGACTTGTCGTGTCAAACAACTTGTCGTGTCACTGTCCTTGTCGTCTTCGTCTTTTAAATTCAGATGTTGCTTCTGGTTAGCGAACAGAAGAGTCGTGAACAGGGTTCGCTAAATATAAACGGATATATATTAAATCAATTGATGTCTATAATATTTAATGTTAGTCTGAGTTAATTTTCACTAACAGTGGTTCGAAGTAGCAGTCTTACTAGAAATTTCGGTATTCCCCGTACACGTTACTGGAAATCCTCACACGCATCTACTTTTTAATTATTTGATAATAAATAAACAAATACCGACCTAATAAATAAACAAAAACAAAGACCGGGAATAGAACCCGAGATATCAGAGATGGCGACACCTTAAAACCGGCATGCGAACCACTCGACTAAGGAGGTCGTCCAATACAACAAACATGTTTTTTGCTCGTTTCCGGCAGAAGACCCTATTTTCGCGAATCTAACTCGCCCTTGCCGGTTTTTCTATAATATTTCTTATTATTATTATATATTAGTAATAAAAATTTCTTCTATCATATTTTATACATATGCAAATAATCCTATTAATATTATAAAGGCGAAAGTTTGTAAGTATGGATGTATGGATGTTTGTTACTCTTTCACGAAAAAACTACTGGACGGATTTGGATAAAACTTTACAGCAATATAGGTTATACATCAGAATAACACATAGGGTACTTTTTACTGGGAAAACTTCTCACTCCCACGGGATACCGACTTCCACGCGGACGAAGTCGCGGGCGTCCACTAGTATAACATAAATACAACTAGCCAAGACTTGTGGCGATAGAGTTAGCTGGTCGCTATCCTGATGCTTAACACCGAGTTAGGGTTCGGACGAGCGGTACCTAGATAGAAATATTAAAGTATTCCGGGAAGCGCCGCATAACGGTTTAGCGAGTTCGAGTTCCATGTAACCATCCTATCTCCCCTTATCTGGGAGGCAAGCGGGGCAAAACCCTCTGGACAAAAAGTCACCATTCTTTATAACCGGGGGTGATGTACCTTAAAAATTTCACAACAATGTAGTACTTGTTTTGTGATGAATTAATCCTTTATGCAATCAGGCCCGGTTAGTCGATAGGTATAAGAAAATTAGGCAACAGTCTAGGGCGCTTGTATTTAGGATTGTATAAACAGATTATGTTTGCTCTAATAATATTAATTGTCTTAAAATCACATCTGTGAAGATTGTCTGTGCATTAGGACCATCAAAAATTATCAAAAAAATGTTTCCTCAGAGGCGTATTAGCATTTCGAAACTTGACGATATTTCGTTTTCTGTGAAGTAGAATTATAGGTGTCATGATTATTCGTACGAGTAGTATATATGTGTGTGTATATACTATATATGTATGTGTGACGGGTTCGATGCTTAGGCAAATGAATAAAAGGCTGACCAAGCTTGAGAACTTGAACTAAAGAGAACTGTAACAAATAAAAAAGGAAAATTAAATATGTATAATGTTTCTAACTTGACGAATTTACACGAACTGACATTCATAAAGAACATTTTGGATTACTCAAAATTTCAAATTACAACACGACAAAAAGTTTGTGTGCGGAAACCTAGGACGAAATAAACGGTTGTGCGATGCACCGTTTCATATATATAAAGCTTGATCGGGCCCCCGAGCTCGGAAAACTTATCGGCAGCAAAACTCAAGGTTTTCCGAACGCTCTATTTACATTTTTCCCAACATTCACTCTCCTCTTCGCTAGTAGAGTCAATGAACACATTATTATACTACTTGGACTGGACTTAGTCATGAGAGATTAATTTGTTATAAAAACTGAGTAACGCTTAAAAATAAGTAAAAATCTTTAAAAACAAATAATACCGGGCAACAGCGAATCGGACTCGCGCGCTGCGGGTACCGTACCAATATTAAATCCAGTTTTGAAAGCAAATCCCTTGTTTAAGAGCCATAATTTTATTTTTCAACTACATGTTATAGATTTCAGATTCCTCTTTGTAGCAAATAAACGATGTCGCTTATTTACCAACATCTTCTAATGCCGATGATTTGAATCATATTTCTAGGTCTACGATAAGTACTTAATCAATTTTGATTTCCTTGAGAGTGTCAAAAAATATGCATTTCACGCCACAAGCTGTCATAGCTTTTTCATGTTAATTTAGAAGTTTTATATTTTAATCCGGTATCTTCACGCGTTCCTTACGGAACTCTAAAAAACTGATCGCCAAGTACACAAACACCGTGTGTGTTGAGCACACAAGATTGACATATTTGTCGAGCGAAACCGTCGCGGCAAAATAATTTTAACTGACTTAAGACATAGCGAAGCGTCGAAACTAATCACCGTGCCACTCTGTAACGAATTATCTTATTGTCCTCAGGTGAGTCAATTAGCGCGTAAAGAACGCAGCCTGCCTGCCTGCCTGCCTGCCCGGGCGCACATTCCGTCATCTCCGTCTGCACAAGTTTTTCCCGCCGGTTTTAGTTTTTCCACTAGCGTCTTAGAGGACGCACGTGTGCCGGGTTTGTTCCAGCGAGCTCCGCTCGTTTGCGAAAATGAGCGGGAACAGGAGAAAGTTGTCCTTCCTCGGTTTTTCACCACAAGTAAGTGATTTTTTTCTCTAAAGTTTCATTGTTGTTTTAAAGATTTACTGCTACATTTTAGCGCCGAAATCTCATATTTTATTTTAAGTAATTTTTAGCACGTGGGTTATACAACATGTAATAATAGGTTAGCATAGTTATAAAACCTATCAAGACTCCAAACAGGTTAGACACTATAACTAATTTTAAAAATTGCTTGCTTGATATACAATTTTAAGTTTTATAAAACTCGCAGAGAATCAAAAGAAACCTATCGTTACGTTTTTGGTGTAATAAATGAGTAACAACTATCTGAAACTAGTTATCAAACACATGCATATATTTATTTGATTAGAATTATTGCCGGTCAATACACAGTGTGTATACATACGTGTTGTTGTATCATTCTGTTTGTCGCCATTCATTAAAAATGCGTGTCGTTTAATGCGCGCGCGCGTCGCTAACGGAACCCGATAAATTAACGTTCATTACAAATAATATATAGCATTGTTACATTGTTCTACATAATATGTTGAAAATTGACTGTGTTGTTATTGCGATTTGTTGTTAAATTTGTGTACAATTGTTTCTATACTATTTAGCATTACGATATTGATTTCTCTACACATATTCCTATCTGCTGGGTGTTAATGAGTGAATAAAGTTGCTTATTTAGAAAGAAATACGGTATAAAGTGATTTTAATAAACGTGTCGAATACAGAAATTATTTAACCGTGAGATTTTATGGATTATCATAGAATGAATTACGTACGTGTCGGCGCATATACACTCTGTGAGTATTTTGTATTCGCTAAGTCATAGTCTTATATTTATGGTTTCATAAATGTATAGACTGTATTTTTTTTTATTTATTTAGCAATCCAAACAATTATATACAATATTATTGTTTAAATGACACTGTAAAAACTACTAAGGTTTATCCATAGTGCTACGTATTTTTAAGTTATTACATATCTAAATTAACAATAGTTTTTTTAATTAACACACTGTCTAAAATTTCACAATTTCTATAATGGTTTGTGATAAATTAATAAAGTAGTATATATAAATAACCGAGTTCGCCAATGTAAAAAATATTATTCATCTAAAAGGCGGTTCATATGTTCCTTTAAATTCGATTGAAGTCACGCGACGACGTTTGTGTTGTTAATATTAACTGGTCGACTTCTTTCATAGAAAGTAGAGAACAGTCTTTTAGATGTATATTTATTTTTCATATTTTGAATTCGATATTATCTTTTAATTCATTTTATTATTTTAATGATACATTACGATTTTAAAAAAACAGTAATTTTCTTATTAAGACAAAACTTTTATTCGATTTCAATAACTTTTGGTCTACAATCCACGGAAAAATCTCTGAACATACAGTCGTGAATAAGGTTTAAAGTAAATTTTGATGCTTTTAATATATTTCAATAATATTTACTTATCATATGTCTCTATGATTTTCTTGTTGGTTTCATCTCCTTTTCTTTGTCTTGAAGTAAATTTTAAGTGTCTTGTATAGAGATCCTAAATAGGGTAAAAACTTATATTTCTCGTAATGACTAATACTCGTAATGAATAGTAATAATAATACACTTAATTGCACTCAATATTTATTAGTTAATAATTTATGCACATGTCAACATAAAACAATTTAATTTATTACCCAAGAACTAGTCAAAATAATAAACATTTTTAAGAGATAGGTTTTGTCCAAGTTAGGGATAAAGATCAATTATACATAATAATATATCTCAATGTTTTTTTCATAATTAAGTAAAAATAATCAATAAAATGTCTTGTAACAATAATTTGAATTATTGTTTAAATTCTACTGTTTAAAATTCTACTAAACAACAAAGATGTAATCTTAACAAATGAATTAACATAGTTTTTAGTTTTGTTTTCATAAGTTTACATCCTAGAACATCAATTCAAAATAGTGATCGTGATATTATAATTTAATCGGGTGATTGGTTATAGGTGCGGTGAACGAAACAATCTCGTTTCGGACCGCAGGGAACGTCATTCAAACAAACCAGAGAATGAACGTTAACAATAGTAATCAAAAAATACTGAATAAATATTTTTTTTTACTCCCGGGTAAAATAAAATAAAGGTTACTATTTTTTTTTTATTTTGAATAGATTTTAGAACTACTTACAATTTCTGCCGTTTCAAGAATTAAATGAGCGTTCTCTTTTGAAATAATAACAGTTCTCAGCGTCAAAAAGGTGCACACCATTAATAAATTTATTTTGAGTATAGCTTACAAGAAAACTAATAAAAAACATATGTGACTGTTGAACATATAACCTCCCCCTTTTTGATTTTAAAATCGACTAAAAAGGATAGTGTAAACAAAAACAAACAAAAGAAACGCAAAGTAAAAAATACAACACGGTTAGGATGGGTAGAGTGAGTGTAATATAGGGAAGGATGTCTAAATTAATAAATTAATGGTGGATTATTAATGCTTAAGAAAATTAATTAAAGAGATTAAAAAAGGAATATTAGAAAATAATTAATAAAGAAAAATGTTTTAAGATATAGAGATGAAATAGCTTTGACATTGTCGCCAAAGGATTTTCAATCTTACCAGATATTCTCTAACAGAAAATTCCAAAGACGTGTCTCCCAAAGTTTTCGAAAGGATATCGCCGAAAATGGCCCCAATACCATTAAATATTAATACTTCAATAATAATTATTAATTAATTTATAAAATTGGTATCAAATATTTATTTGATACGGACATACTGCGATCCAAAATTAATATTTAAAAGAACTTTAACAGTAACATTTTTATTCGCAAATATTCACATTCAATACACTTTAATTGTATTGAGTCAAATGGATGTTATTTACACGTCAGATCAAGAAGATCATTTATTTTTATTAGATAACCTTTAAATCATCGAACAAAAAAACATTAAATTAAAAGAGAAGTTTATTTACTTCAGTATAAACGTCAAATTATTTACTAAAAGCGCCATCTCTTGGTGATTTTCTAAATAAAACATAAGGACATAAAACTGAATTTTATACAAACTAAATTCACTAACTGTTAATAATGATAATTCACTCTTGTTTATTCAGAAAGATTGATATTCATACGACATATCCTAAAAACTATTTATATTTTTATTTTTAAATTCCTCGTAAACATAATAACATCATGTCATTTACGTATTTAAGGCGCCATCTTTTAATGTAAACCATCAAAAAACTATAGGATTTTTAATTTTAAACTTATCAATAGGTACATTATTTAACTATTAGAATGATTTATTTGTCTATTAACTTATAAACTTTTACAAGTCACAACGAAAAACCGACATTCTTAAAGTTGAGTTTTTTGGCTTTGATAATATCAGACATCAATATCATGTCATGTACTTAAGAGTGCCATCTCTTGGTGGTTTTCCAAAAAATTATAACCTCAAAATGAATAATATTTTGCGTGATAAGAAGTTCTACAACTTGGTCGCGGTATTATAAATACATAATGAGAATTAGTTAGTAACACACAATAAAATCAGTATTTTCCTATATTTTTTTGGCTCTGGGGCCACAAATGTATGGACGTTGAGCAATGTCCTTTACGAAGACAAACATAGGGAAGTGATATTTTGAATATTCGTCTGTCTTAACGAGTTTTGTAGTATTGTACCTATTTTCTCTGGAATGGCAGCGACTTGCATTGTTAAAATGTGCAAAATTTTATTAATCTTTAAGCCTAAACGGCTCAGCCCACTTGCTCTGGTTTCACAATTTTTCAACAAAATATGACCTTGAGTAATACTTTTATATTTTCGAGTTAAATATTATTTTGATTAAAGATAATTATTTTTTTATTATTAGAAAAATTACGGTTTTTAAATAGATATATCTAGGATACATATTTTAATGTAGTAACACGATTTTTATTTTTTACTATTGAGTACATTTAAACATAAGATTTAATTTATTTGATTTAGTTTTAATCAATCTATCATAATTCATAATCTACTCGGCTAACCCTTTCATTTGACACCTATACCATGAAAGTGCAAACATAATAAATTTGTCATCTTGGATGATCCGCCATGTTAGATTAATAATGAATTAGTTGTAAAGTTGCTAGCAATCCTTTTCATTTTTATGTACAATGTTATAACATTGATATTTAATTCAAGATGGTTTTATTTAGTCAATATCACACGTATTTATATTGAAAAACAAAACCTCCGAGCATAATTTCAGTTTACTGCTTTAAAAATCAGTTGCAAAATTGAAAACATACCAATACCTATGTATATGTCACAGCTTTACAACCTGGCTTTATGTAGCCCATTTGCCTACCTTCCTTGAACATCTTTGAGGATAAGTAGCCTAATTATTTAAAGGGCTATTAGCTTTTAAAGGGGTTTTTAAATTTGACTGAATTCAATTTCCGATTTAATGATAAAAAAAAAAATCAATTTTTGTAATTTGTTATATTTGTAATAAAGGAAATGTTAAAAATATGTCTTACATGTTTGTGATTCATACATTATTCAACAGGTGTTATTAATTCTAACAATTATGGACTCGTATCCCAAATTTTTCCAGTTATTCATAATAAAACGAAAACGTGCATTAGCCATTTGACATGGTTTGCAAACCTTTTATAATTTACTTAATATTTAATTGTTGCAAGATGCATAAACTTCTGGACCGTGCACAAGGTTCCCATCATCTATTGATTCACAGTAGAGTAATGGGTTGAACTACCTTGTCTAATTCTTTTCTGTGGCTCAGAGGGAGTAAGATGCTACCTATTTTCTGATGCGTTTCAACCCTAACTAAAAATTAGCATTCAAAATTAAAGATTTGTTTATTTAAATTAGATTTATGCGTTTAGCAAATTTGCAAAACTTTTGGAAAAACACTGAATGTTAAGCCGAAATTTTAAATTATTTGCCAACCTGATTCACATATACATATACACATGTTTGAAATATATTATTTAACACTGTTCTATATTTCTA